TTGGAAGCCCATGAAGACATTTTGATTGAAAATATTTATATTTGTCTACCGCTGATGCGGAAACGCACGCGATAAAAACCTCAGTTACGTTTCCGGCGATTTTACTTTTTTACAGTGTGATGTTATAAGTTTTAATCACTGATAAATATGCCACCTCATGTGAAAGAAACAATATGCCTCTCTATCTTAGAGTGATGTTGAATTGACAAAACCAGTTGCATATTGGTATCGGGTGTTTCAGATGAGCACCAATGAATTGCTCGCAATACCTGCATCTGTACATGACCACAACAGAGTAATTGTAAAGGAGGTACAATGTGATGTGACATATTTCATACCTATAATTACTATTAACATAGTTTTACTAGTGCTAAAATTGTTTTCAAGGATAAGGTCTATATTCATGTATTTATTATTGACCATCTTTAGATTGTCTCTAACGTTCATCTCAAGAAAGATAGATGTAAATTTAATAAGCTGTCTTGATAGTATGCAAATCTGAGAGCAGTGTCAAATCATTTGACAGGGGTTTCAAATGACAAATTTTATATTAACTTAATCATAAGGTCTCTAAAAACCCTTTTTAATTATAAATTGTAATTTCACCATTCTGACACTATCAGGACTGTTTTGAAGATGATATCCAATTAAAGAAATAGTAAAACTGACGGCAAGTGGGAATCTTGATCAATCACTGGATATAGTCGACCTGAGCGCACCGACGTCAGATACAGCTGCCGTTAGTTGCTGTACTTTCTGGTTCAAATTGGATCTTGTGGTTGATCCGAGTAGTTTGAATCCCCGTCATACTGTTGATCGTAGATGCTATAGTCGATGAAAAAGCCTTTTTGCATTGTCAAAATGAAAGGTTACCACTTAGGGCATAATATAATAAGAAGGTTTAACGGCGAATTTCACTGGACGCTACAAATTTTACCCCTTAATTCCGACATGATTTGGTGAATCTTACTATAAGACCTGTTTAATTATTCTCTATAGAATAAGCCTCAAGATTTGCTTCAGTACATTATCATTACACGTGCTTAATAAATACGAGGGCTGCGATGGATTTCATTTAATTTACTACTAGTCCAGCCAGTAGATGTTGACATGAATGGATTTGAGACTGATTATCTTGTTCTTTACGTGAAGTTCACAATTGGGTCATAAACCTTATGTACCTACGTTAACGGAGTACACTTTAAAGTAGACTGTAGGTTTAACTAATTTCTTTCGTCGTTACCTCCCAGGTTAACACTTTTTTGGCAGGGATGCTACAAGGCATCGACGAAGGTCAAGACAAAAAACATTTCTTAGACACCTTGAACAGGTGGTTGTCCAGCAAGATATGCCCATTTTCCTGATACATTTTCAGTATATCAAGTCGAACCAAAAACCTAATTTGTACAAGATATTGTTCATTTAAACAAATACACATTATTTAATAAAATTCTGACATTAACTGTCACCTCTATCGCGTTAACAGCCAACAAATTTTGATGCGTTTTATTAAGTCAAGGGAAATAACCCAAATTCCGTTGATCGAAAAATCGTCAAATTCAATCATTATAAATGATCATACCAAATTTCATTTAAATCAGATGAAAACTGTAGTCTCTATTGTGTTCACAAACAAATTTTGATAAGTCAAGGGCAATAACTCAAAAAACATTCATCGAAAAATAGCCAAATTTAAACTTCTCTAAGATCTCGTCATTATAAATAATCACACCAAATTTCATTTAAATTGGAAGAAAACTGTAGTCTCTGTTGTGTTCACACCCAAATTTTGACGCGTTTTTCATAAAGCAAGCGCAATAACTCAAAACCGTTCATCGAAAGATCGTTAAATTCGAACTTGTCCAAGATATCATTATTGTAAATGATCACACCAAATTCCATTCAAATCAGATAAAACTGTTGTCTCTATTGCGTTCACAAGCCAATTGTGGACGGGCAAACCGACGGACAGGGGCGACAACAATTTACGATCATATTATAATGTGGGCGTATAAAAACCATTTACAGCGGAAATCACGTCATAATTATTACTATGACTGGTCAGCTCCTTTTTCATTTTGGGAAACTGGTCTTATCCATGATTACAAAACTACTGGCTCTACTTTCGGGCGGCATAAATTGTCATGGGACGTCAGAAACTCCTGATACGTTTTTGATCACGGGGCTTTGGCAGACGGAACGGTTATCATTCGCAACTTCACCGAATGCCAACAACAATGTCATGCATCCTGGTAATGTTTCCGGACTGGTTTATGTTGAAGGACTCCCCAGACGGGTGTCATCGTCAAGGCTCTCTCTCTGAACTTTTCAGCCTACCTATTAACAGCGAGGAGGGTAGGGGCATCATCTCCTAAATAGGAAACCATGTGAGAATGTATCTGTGTTTGAGGACTCTCTGGCGGTTTTTTATTCAGTAGCTTAACAGACCTCTGGAAGTACATTGTGAACTCTTATAGCTTTGATTGACAACACTCCGATTTCTCGCACGGCCTCTGTTCTTCCTCCAATTCAAGAAACTTGAAAATACTAAGGACTACTTGTACTTGTAATCTGAATGATTGTGTCTGGAATTACTAAAATCACATACATGGTGTAAATAAAAGCGATAATTGTACTCGATAACATTTTCATTGCTAGGAAACATTTTGAATTAAATGTGAAAAGGAGCATAATAGTCAGAGCGTTTGAATAATGGTCGTGGGTTCTTATCTCGGTCGGTGTGTGAGTTGGATCACCTTCGATGAGTCATATTTCCTCATTATTCCAGTCAATACAACTGTAAATCCGGTAAAGATCAATGCAAAGAGGTTTTGCCCAGTACCAGATGTTAGAAAGGATCATCGTGAACCTTAGTTGTTTTCATTGCACAAAAATGTCGTTTCGTTCTAGTGCTATTATATACATCTCCCTCAGTGATACTGTTGACATGATATCAGATTAGATTTGTTCTTGACAAGTTAAATGATGGTTGCAGCTAGTGCAAAAACATAGTATTGATTTGATTTATACAATAGAGAAAATCGACATAGTATAGTTGCCATATACTATATTACCACAATTTTCCCGTTGTTTATTCCTTGTAATAGAGAACAGTATGACTGAACGATTTCAAGAAGTAAAAGAAGAATGCTAATTTTTATTTTATTGGCATCGTCAATTCCTTGAGAAAGAATCTTTTTTTATAAATCTCCATTTGACCATTTATATCGTCATGTTAATCATAAAAAAATATTTTGTAAGATGCATGATTTACACTAAATACATCTGTTATCATCAATGTTTTGAGATGATATATCATCGAGCCATCTACGCCTATATATCGTTGAATTTTAAGTATAAAAAGTATTTTTGAAAATCATACGATTTTTTGGTAAACGGATCGGACTATATTAGAAAAATAATGCTTCCATAGCCGATCAAAAGCCGTTGGCCCGTGGTCGAATTGGCTGATCAGAAAGCGATAATCCCGATTTATAGTTATGGACCAGGCTCTTCTAGGCAAATTTAGTCGGTCGATGAACGCCCAAAGATAGTCTACTTTCGGCTTCCTGTGTCAAAATACGCCTACATTCTGCCATTCCGACAAGAAATCCAGGATCGCCCATTCTAGCATTTAACTCCCTCAACAGGTCGAACAGGAAGATCGCTCTCTTGAGCCCTTTGCCGTGTAACTGAGGGTCCTATAACGGATCGATCGGACGAGAACCGCCCGTGATTAGTCCTTCTTCCATGGTCGAGAGGCAATCAACCCCGAAAGGCGTACAATCGGGCCAATCCAAAAATTAATTCATTGGTCCAGCAAATCATGCCTATAATTATTGGAATGACTTGGATTGGAGTATGATTAATCCAAGCATTTAGTTATACCAAGTATATTTCTGATCATCATTAATTTAAAACCTTTTATGCATTATCTGTATCTAGTTTACACAAAAAGTAACATGACCGAAACTGAATTGTCACGAAACTGCCACTGTGTACACAGTATAGCACTGTGGTAAAAAATTTTAGAAATATTGATGTGATTGGTAACACATTATACATTTGAGATAAGAACAAATTCTTCAGACATAATTTGCCTACTTTTTTGGTGGTTGTTGTGCCGTACACAGTCTGTAGCAATTCTCCTTTTCGTCTCATCGAAGTCTTATTCTTATTTTCAATAAATATTCGAGCAGAAATTCAATCAAACTCGTAAAATTTGACAATATTTTATTTGAACGAATGCAGAGATAACTTTCCCTTTTGATTTAAATACGTTATTCATTAAGTATATTAACATTCTGATTTTTTATTACATGTTTATCATTTGAAAAAATTGTATAGGATTCATCCCTTAAAACTACAGTGCGGCACCGTATAGGATTCATCCCTTAAAACTACAGTGCAGTCTGAAGTAGTTCTGTTTTTCCATTTTTTACTTTTTTATCGTCAGCTAACTGTATCACCTGTGGGTCCGCTGCCTGTTCTCGAATACAAGAGTGTTTCAACTTAATCCGCACTTCAGAGATGAACTCTTTAAGATGTTTACGGAAGCCACATGAAAATGTAAAGTAGAGGAAACCCTTTAAGGCAAAATTTAGTACATAGAAAACACGACAAAAGCTAAGCCATTGATTCATTCCTTGGTCTCTGATGTTTCCAAATCTCATAATTGCCCTTATTATATTCTGAGGTGGGTTAAACAGTAATGTTATTATGATAACCGGGCATATAACACGCGATATCCTTGTTGATGAACGGATGTTATGTCGCACTGATCGACGACCTACTTCAGAGAGGGGGGATAAGTCGTTTACATGATGTTTTTTGTGTTTATCGCATCTTTTGATTAAAATTAAGAACACTAATATTGCAATAACAATGTAAGGTATAACAGCAACCACAATTATATCCAGTTTATCGAGGTTCATGTAATGCTTTTCAAATTCATTAAACGGGCCACAAATCTTCGTTCTACCATATTTAGTAACTCCGTAAAAGTAAGTAATGTAAGAATAACAGACAACCGCTAAAGCTCCCATGCCCACGATCACCAGTTTAGCTCTGAACACAGTGCACATTGAAGGTTTTAAAATTGGAAAATATAAGGCTATGAATCGGTCCACAACTAAAGCCACCATATACCAAATGCTTAAAAATGTAAATCCACAATTCAGAAACATGACAAGCTGACAAACACCAACATAAGTCAGTAGATTTTGTCGATAATACATCTGTAATACTGTAAGAAAGAACGTCCAAAGAAATCCTGTGTCTGTGACGGCTATAGCGGCTAAAAATCGAGCAGAAGACACTTGTTTCAGTCGCGTTTTGGTGAAAATAAGATAGGCCAGTATGTTTCCAATGGAGCCAAGCACCACTATTATAGGGTAGCTATAATAGTTAATGTTGTGCAAAGTCAATGCAAATTGTGACGGTCGGTAAAATCGAGGAGGTCTTGGCGGCATCCGAGGTCTTGAAAAGTTGTAGCTTTCAATAGAGCTTAAATTTCCCATGTTAGGAAAGAGTAATTCTGCCATCATGTACTAGTCTAAAAAACTCACAAATGATTTTCACATTGGATAAAAATGTCTCATCTTATCAAGTTTAGTTCATGTAGTTATTCACCAGGTCTAGACAGTATTTCATTCAATCTGAAAACTTTTTGTATTTCTTAATTAAACTGTAAAATACCATCATTTGCTCTAATACAAATTGAAGACATTTTAAATGGGGTAGAACTATACAATGTTCGTATACAAAGACTCAGAAGGCGAAATCGTAAGATTGTAACTACTATCATACATTACCATTCATGAACAATAAATCCCTTCACACATTTTAAGCACATTTCTAATCTGATGGCACTTAGACACAATCTTTTTAACAATCTTGTTCCTGATACCCTCTCAGATACACCATATAAAAATACACCTGCAGCCTTGCTAAGCTTTCACTTCTTCAGGTAACTACGGAGTTTAGTGTAATTTCTTGTGTAGTTTTCCACGTGAAACTACAATCGGAAGCTATTAAAATATATCACTTAGTATAAATGCATTAGTCCACTATTTATTAATTGAATTGTGTGAAGCGAATGTTAAACCGATACTTAGAAATTTTCAGACAGTGTTCAAAACTAATAGTCTCTCCATGGGTACCACTTTCAAAGCTCCATGTTATGCACACTTCACCACTTCTAAATACATTATTATTAATAATTGTGATGGCTTTTCTATAGACACGAAACCAGTTAGTCACTGCGAGTATCAGGCGATGAAATTAAGCTGTATTTGAACAATACTTTATTATAGCTGCCAGCAATGTTCGACTTCCTGAAGTGTCTGTGGCTATATTAGTACTGTTAAAAGTACTAAAAGTTGGTTTGACATCTGTCTTCCTGAAAAATGACAAAATAAAATCAGAACAAATAACATAAATTTTCAACGACACTGAAAGTTAAATAAGTTACCTCGTTGTACAGTTCATACAAACTTAATATGGAACAAGACAGCTGGAATTACAGCCATCTAGTGAGAATAATTCCTGTTTTTCATAAATAATTTAATAGAACGGATAGCAGTTCACGCCAAACTGTCTTGAAAACTGCCAGTACTGAACTGACAGTAACATATTAATACATCAATATTTCTCAAACGAAACCCCCGATAGGTTTTAGCGAAACTACCCTAAAGCGAAGTTAGTCGCCCTTTCCTTGACGCAGTACTGAAGCTTTAAAATCGAATATTTTCTAGTTTGGAGATGCTACATCCATTTCGCAATAAATGCCTGACGATAAATAAGTGCACATTAAAACCTTGTATCTAAAGATAGATCATGGACAAGGAAAACGTTTAAGGCGTGATTTGACATTTAGTTTTCCATCTTTTAAGCGGAATATTTTTTTTTTAAACATTGAACTTAACAAGAAAACAAATAAATGATATCCACAATTTAAAAAATGAAATTATCTGCTAGATTACACTCACAAATAGGTAACAACTTGTCGGCACGGCGAGAATCATTTAACCAATGAAGAATGGGTTTGAAAGACTTTCCAATTCCGATGTCAAATGGTATACGAAATAGAGTAGTTTGGTAAATCAGTCTTGATTTGTGTTAGCCTATTTCAACATACTTTCATATATAATTCATAAAACATCCATCCATGTACATTCTGTAATTATTTCTATAATATGAGTACACTTTTGATCTCACCATTTCTAATCAATATTTATTCTTTTCTGTTCTAGCAAACTAGTATAAAGTCTAGAAAATATTCCCAAAAATAATATAAGAAATATTTAATTTCAAATTCTAAATATCAAATGTAAAATACCAATGATAGCACAGCATTTTAATCAAATTCTTAATGGTTGGAGTCCTTGTTAATACTCCTATATACAAGCAGACAGTTCAGATAAATTTCAGTAATAAAACAATAATATAGAATATATTTTAACATTAACCTTTAAAATAGTCCATAATCTTATCAATCCTTTAGTACACAAAAAACGAACAAAGTGCTAAATCAGGCATATATCACCACAAATCCAGATTGAGTCATGTTCACAAACGAAAGTAGTTAAAATAAAATAAATTGGAGGCGTGGTCAAAAACTGTAATTCTTCCTCCAGATATAAAACGTTGTCTGAATCGCGAGATACGACTCGATACAGATAAAAGTGGTGCCAATTAAAATTTACCATAATATATAGGCCAGTATACCTTACCAAGTTATTAAGTTCTCTAATCTATAAGATAAAGACGTTAAATGGTGGCTTTACCAACCTTCAAAAGATTAATTGACATTTTTATTAGAATCTAGACACAATACACAGGAGGAAATAGCCTCATGCTGTCACTCAATGGGTCGTGGTATTTTAAAGTGATCGATGTTTATTGTCTGATTTCAAAATGTCCTGATTCTTAAAATTTATATCGAGCTTGTTTGTCACTTAGGAATGTAAAGTGAGTTAAAATCATTAAGAACTTAGACAAGATCAGCTGAAGACTATTATCACGAAATACAACTGATCCACAAACTAACGTCATGGATCACGAAATATAGCTGATACGCAAACTATTGTCATGGATAACGAAATACAACTGATATGCAAGCTATCGTCATTGATCACGATATACAACTGATATACAAGCTATCGTCATGGATCACGAAATATAGCTGATATGCATGCTATCGTCATGGATCACGACATACATCTGATATACAAGCTATCGTCATGGATCACGAAATATAGCTGATATGCAAACTATCGTCATGGATCACGAAATATAGCTGATACACAAACTTTCGTCATGGATCACGACATACATCTGATATACAAGCTATCGTCATGGATCACGATATACAACCGATATACAAGCTAGCGTGATGGATCACGAAATATAGCTGATATGCAAGCTAATGTCATGGATCTCGAAAAATAGCTGATACACAAACTTTCGTAATGGATCACGACATACATCTAATATACAAGGTATCGTCATGGATCACGATATACAACTGATATACAAGCTAATGTCATGGATCTCGAAATATAGCTGATACACAAACTTTCGTCATGGATCACGAAATACATCTGATATGCAAGCTTTCACAATAGATATCGAATCACAGCTGATACGAAAACTATCGTGAAAAATTCCAAGATCTCTTACTATGCGTGCGTGCAAATTAGAAAACTTTGTCACAAAAGTAGCACAAATTTACTTGCTTTAAATTTTTCAATAAGAGTCCTTGGATTTTATGTCCCAAGGGCACACGATAGCTTCTCCTATCTGTTATACTGACAGGGTAAAATGGCATTATATTAACCATGAAATATGTCCAGACTTATGTCTGTATCGAATTGAACCTTTGACATAGTCTGAGACTAGAGAGGTGATGATATATTGATTATAGTATTGACACCATTTATCAAAATGAATTATTCCTTACAAAATTTTCGCTCATTTTTTTCTAGGCTTGAATTTATTTTACTTTTTTGTATAGTTTTATTAAAAGTATCATAAATATGGGCTCTGAGCCAATAATTGTTTGCAACGAAAAAAGTTCACACATGAACATCATTGAGTTTTAACAATCGTCAAATAGTTGATTCTTACTACAAAAACACACGTACAGCCTCAAAATATTCATCGTCGCTTAGAAATCTCTAAAGGGAATCGAGCTCTAAAATCAATCATATTCAAAAACTGTTCAAAAACAGCAAACCGGTACTATAATTCAGTTCCACGAGGAACACTTTTGATGAAAAGTAAAACGTGCTCGAAATACAAAACCTACTAATCAACTTAGCAGGAAATATAACACAATATGAAGCCTTATCCTGAAACCAATGAAATAAACGCTATTAACAGCTAATAAATCATATTGACTCGGGTTAATAGTTGAAATGTTATTAAGATTAGTTATCGATCTGATACTAAACCTAACAGGCTTACAATTACTACATGCTTAAAACAATAAAATGATATGCCAAACACATTTTGTGTTATTTTTCTTCAGTATGGTAGAGTAGGGCCAGATTTCCACGGGTGTATATTTATACACACGAATCAATGTAATCTACATTGCAACCTGTTGAATTTGACGTCATGATTGAGAATAGTGATTCATATCATTATTTCTATTTGGGAAAGCTTAAAAGGAAACAACTTGTTCTGTGTCGCATGATATCCGTTCATCGGCACATTCTTGTGATAAATTATTATTTTTTGAAATCCACACACACAGATAATGATATAAAATGTATAAATCATTTTAAGATATACTAAAGGTAGACCGAGATCGACTTGCGCTCATATTGAGAAATTAACTGACCGACTACTACTGCAGTTAAGTGGATGACAGTAAATTCCGATTTTTTGTTAGTAAGTAGAACATGAGCAACTGATGGCAACTGACTGTAACAGTCGTCGTTGCACTCAGGTCAACTCAATCCAGCAATTGAACAGAATCTACCAATTGCTAGTCGTCATTACAAAAATACACTTACTCTCAGATTCTGCAAGTTGCGAGGTCGATCTTAATGCATCTAATCATCAGATCAGACAAAAGAAGCAGTAGAAGTAGGTTAAAAATTTTTATTCACATCCCAATACTATGTTCAATCGTTTCTTTGTGATAGTTCTTCCTTCTTACTGCCACTTAATTTGCCATTAATAAATATGGTCGTTAAAGAGGTGTTGTTGTGTCGTCGGTCAAATGAACATTGGAGTGAAATTATCACATATCAGATACAGAATTGGTAGTTAACGACCGTCCCAATTTAATTCTCAATTCATTACCAACCTTGACGGAATGAATTGGCTACCAGAAATATCTGATATTGTATTTACTCTTTATTACTTTCTTGCCATTACGATTCTATTTATGTTGAGGCTAAACCAGCGGGGAAAAGAACGTTTTCTCACCGACTTCAAAACTGGAAAAGTTACAATCTGA